ACGTGTAATTAATGCATGATACATAAGTTGAAAAACAAATTCCACTAGAAGATAATATGATCAGTACACAAACCACAACCTTGACCATTCATATTTAATATCATTTGCACATGATTGAATGACCAATCAAAAGACCTTCACACAATYTAGTACTTGATTCGAGTAAACGTCAGTATAAACGAAGTAATATAAAAACAATTTCTAAATGATTATTAATTATTGTCATATTATTATTAAATAAAAATACCTAATAGAGTTATTATTTTACGGTTGAAATCAATGTATTATTTGCATTGAATACTTTACACAATAAATCATATTATAACATCGATATGCAATGTGGACGATAATAATTATAAATATAATGAAATTTAAGGATAAATAAAACATACCTAATATTAATCATGGTTTTAACATATTTTAATATTATATTACATAATAATATGTACACTGACTGAAACGTTTATGATTTTTGTTTGATACAAATGYCGTTTAATTTATCTTTACAAAGCATGCATGAACAGTACTTTATGAAAATTCAATGAAAAACAAATACAATACAAATAAGGTACCTCACACAGACGAATTTAAATTTAGACGGTCTCTGCTGTTTTAATTTAGGGCTAATATCTTTTTTGTTGCTTACGGTACTAAACAATTTGTTTAGCGTAATAAATTCAAAGCAATTTATCGCCTCAACGGCTCAACCCTGATATACAGTTTTAAATTACACGAGCCCCATATATTCATGCWTTCACTATATTCATGTATATATACAGGTTTATAAACAATTAATTTAAACACTGGAATTTATTTTACTGTTAAAGTTMATTTTTAAAAATAAATAAATCATTTAATTTATGTCTAACTGAACCTTAACTCATAAAATTAAATGATAAATCGAAAGATACTAAAAATCGTATAATATTAAAAAGTGATCGGAAATGTCATAAAATACTAATAATACTAACATTTAATATACATATTTATTTTTAAATTGTTTTTAGCTTGTTTCTACTGTTATTGGTTATAAACTTACAACTATGAGCTCAAACCAACCTCATTAGTCATTAAGTATAGATTGTGTTTTGTAAAAATACCTAAATCTACGGCACATATTATCATTGTTAAAAATAAATGGCAATTAATCAACTAAAATGTAGAGTAACTTGAGCAAACGAGTAATTTACGTTGGGCTTTTAATGACTACCCACCATGTTTTTTAACTGTACGGTTTATTTTAAATAATTTTAATTAATTATGAGTAATTGCAGATTACTCGTGTATGAATATTAGGGTTAAGTAACAGTAAATAAGTTATAACTAATACGAACAAAATAAATTGAAAATAATACACTAAATTTACTAATTTTTATTTTAAAATATGAACAATTGGATTTTATTGTTTACTGATTAGAATTATTGCAGTTTTTCTAAATAGATACCTATATAATATAAATATAGTAAGTAATGAAGAAGGTTARTTTTAGAATATATACTCAAGACCCAACTGTTATTAATCATTGATTTAAGGCTTGATGTTTAGATAAAAAAAATTAAGGATTATTATTTTCATAACGAATATTTAATAATTATACWTGAGTATTTAACAATAATTATTTTACTGTACCAAAGTAAGAGACTGCAMCATATTTTTAGTTTGAGCCGTTTTATAAAACTTAAATTTATTGTGAGGATCATTAATTGTAAAATTGTTTTAAAAAACGAACAACTAAGCTAAAATCTTCTAAAACCATCTACATATTTAATTTTTTTTTTTTAAATAGTAAATCATGATTTAATTTTCTTCATATCTTTAAATCATCTCATAATAAAATGTGTAGGAAATAGATACATTGGTGGGTACTCGGTACTTAAAATGTACTAATATATTAGTATGTCTAATTTATAACTGATGACGTTTGATTTAAATGTTATTAAAACCAGCAATATTAATATATATATTAATATGTATACGTAGGTAATAAGCAAAAACTCTGCCCAACGATTCAATCGGAACACGTTCAGCTATTAGTAATTATTTGCAAGTATTTATAACACCACTCACTAGGAAATCAACCTACAACGARTTGTACGTGATATGTAAAGAATATGACATATTATACCTAATATCATTAGTCGAAGTAACCCGATACTCTCGGTATACGTCATACGCGAGATGACAATATAATATTATCATCATGATTTCATATCACCATTCACCATAACAGCTAACTATCGACTGGTGTAGRCAACTATTTGGATTTTTAAATTTTAAATGAAAATACTCAGTGCTCGTGCATTATAGGTACATTGCTYGGGAGGCTAGGCGATTAGTGAATTTACTGAATGACAATGTTCGAACATATTATTGTTATTGAATTATATATTATATAATATATACAACGTTATTAAATTATACGAYTCCGGTTGTAATAAATGCCTGAAAACACAACCTAGGGGATTATATTWATAATACTCGTACATATTTTAGCGACGTAGTACGATATTCTTTTCAACTTTATTATAATATCGTAATATCGAAAATAAATTTATTATTGCAAATATTTTTTTACACACTATAACTTTTTTTTTCAACTTGTTATTTCATATTTACCGAAATAAACATTATAATAAATGAAAAAAATAACATCCAATAATATTTCATAATACCTACTTGGTTATAATATTAATATATTATATAATAATCTAGCTATAATTGGCGATATCTGTTAATACCTACATTGATATCATTATCTAATATCGATTTAGATAGGTACTTATTTACACCGATATCGGAAAATTTGTTCTGCATCTCTACTATAACATTATTATTWATTATGTATTATACCTATCAATAATAGCTGTAGATAGATTGAGTAGTACCACTAGTACCTATTATAATACTCTGTATTGTAAAATTAATTTATGTCACCGCGTGCGTAGAGCTAATAATACATTTTGACCGAGGATTTGGCGATTTTCTCACAAGAGATGACAATAATACTAATACGGTAATAACTATTAACATATTGTAGTAATAATATTATGATGTAGAGATAGAAAAACGGG